CCGTCAACACGTTCACCAAGGTGCCGAGACGTTCGCCGGAGTGCATGTTCCATTGCGCGACAGCAGTGTCATCCTCGGGCGCTGTGGCGAAGAAGTTGTCCTGAGCCACTCCAGACACAGGAGACCGCCCCGTTGCACTGCTGCTACAACTTGCAGTTGATTCTGTATGTTCAGGATTTACAAGCTGAGACTTCGAAGGGCAGGTTGCGGGCTAACCCCACGCCAGCCCGAAAACAATCAGAGCTGGCAGCGAATGGATCTCAAAGCGTCCCCCTTTACGAAGAGGCGGACTTCATCTGTGCGTGGGCCGTTGAACTCCCGAATGCATTCGCCAGAGTCCAAGGACCACCTGGCTGGCTACCATTGAAGGGCACTACTGTCGCGACTGCCGAATCCCGAACGCCCCTGCAGCAATTGTCGAGTACTAATTATTAAACATGCCAGGTGAGTTGAGCAACATCTTGTATGTAGTCTTGGCCATCTCATCCATTTCGAGGGTGTCCTCCTGAATAGCTTGCGCGCTATGCTCTCCCTACCCTACAACCTTGACTGCCTTTATACCGGGTTCACGCACCTCGACCGCCCAAGTGAAAAGAAAGTCTACAGTAGCGACCAGCTCCCCGTTCGCACCCAAGTGCTGGAAGGTTCGGGCCCGGTCGCCGGTCTCCAAGGACCACTCCAGCATTTCGCCGTCATCGTGCGAGCTGTAAAGCATGTCGCGCGTGGCCGCCACAGTGTTTGCAGGGCTGTCAGCCACAATGGTCTTGACGCAGCGTCCCTCCTTGATACTCCAGGACTTGATGGTCCCATCTTGTGAGCAACTGTAAACCATATAGTCCCGCTCGCGATTGTCGTACTCCTCGTCTGCACCTGCAGCAGCCAAAGCCCTGGCACGGGCGTCATACAGCGCTTTAAGTGAGGCGCTTACAGCCATCATAACAGAGAGAAGCATGAAGAAGTTCTTCTTGACCTTCACGAGATAAATGGTCTGGAGAAGAGCCTGGGGCATATCCTCTCCCACAGTCCGCACGACAGCAAGCATGTCCCAAACCCACTTCTGCTCCGTTGGCAGCGTGACACAGGTGGCCAGCATATCCATGTGAAGCAGCTTCAGGAGGCAAGCATGCGAAGGGTCTTGGCAGGCCAGGACGAACATCACACCCCACTGCATCAAGAGCACGCCAACCACATATGAAATGCCCATGGCCCACGCAAGCACCTGGCAAACCGCAGTAATCCTGATGTACTTACTACCTGGCTCCATGCTGATGGTCATCATATAGACTCCACTTATTGGGTGTGTTTTGCGCTGTCGGCTGCGCCTGAGACAGCGGATGGTCACAGGCAGCCGCGATGACTATCGCATTAGCATCCGTGTAGCCATCCAAGAACCCCAGGAATGAAGGAAGGAACTTGATCAGCATGTCGACAAGGCGCACCTGCTGCCGGCAAGGCGTCGAAATCACAGCCGTGGCCCTGCGGAACCGCCCCGGCAACCCTAGGGATTTCTGATGACTCCAAGCAATCTGCAGAGCATGCCTCAGCTTATTCTGAATTCCAGTTCTGCACACCGGATTCTAGCCAACTTTTGAACTCTGTGCGACAATCCCGAAGTCCAAAAGGCGAGCCCACTTTGAAGCACTTGCCGCCTTGTCCCACGCTACCATGTCATCGCTGGCCATTAAAGCCAGCTCAGCCAGCTTGGTGACAACAACGATGGCAAGGAACCTCTCAACAGCACCCCTTTCGAGAGCACAAGCAGGCCTCCATGGGCTGTCTGTCCGCTCTTACGAAAGGCCGAGCTCGAGCTCGCAGTGCGAGGTAATTAGTACGCTTTGCACGCTTTCCCACTAAGTACACCAGAAGAAGTATACTAGATGAGCAGGTTTCATGGTGAAAGTATGACTCGCCCCGAGAGCTAACACATCCCTCATGAAAGAAACCAGACGGAGACCATTCCCGCAGAAATCAGAACCCCCTCATCTCATGTCTTCACGAAGTGCACATCCACCGAGCTTTTCTGGATGGATGTCCAAGGACCAAAGATGCAAAAGCTGCCGCTGCTTCAAACCATTTGGGGTTATTGGTTGCCTTCGAGCGATTTGGTTGTCTCGCGCCCGTCTAGTTTAGGACTATGCCCAGAACTCTACATCGGGGTTTGGCTGGACAGTTCACGTAGCATCGATTTAAAGTCCGAGTAGCTGGTGACAACACTGCCCGACTTGTTCACACTATGCTTTTCCAGTTGAACAGCCGTCCCCGAAACCCAAGCCTTGCCAAGCATGATAACTAGACGGGGAAAAATGAGTTGCGCAGCTTCGGGCTTACCGTTTTGCCGTTGGTGGCGACAGGATGCCCAACGCCGGTCCGAAACTGTTTTGAGGACCCTGAGTGCAACGACACAGGCATATGTCTGCGGTATTTTGTCATTTGTGGTCTGTCTTCTACCAAAACCATGCAGTAGGAGGTGGAGACTCGGTGATCAATCAGAACAGCCAGGTGAGAAACTCAAGTCACAGGCCCAAGGCCCTGCAAGCCCTTGCGCAAAGGCAGACGAAGCGCTGCATGTGCGTCTCCCAGAAGAAGCCCTGTGAGCAGCTCGCCTCACCTCGGTGAAGCGCAGGAATGCCCATGGAGCCAGCAACCTCGGCTTCAGCAGGAGTCATGCGAACCCTGTAAACCGTGATCGTTTCAACTCTTACGACTCTACGCCCGGCACAGCATGTAGGGTTTCTCCTTTCTTGGATGTATGTTCGGGGTGTAACAACAGGTAAACTTTAGCCCTTCCGCAAGGGCACACGCATGTTTGGAGTGTTCGCGGCTTGCACTTAAAATGCCACGTGCGCTGCGCACTGTGGGCTGAGAAGCCTCATTAGTGGCAAGAATACACATTAGTAGATGCTAAAACCCCAGTGCGGATGGTGATTGTGCGCTCCAAGTCACTCCAGCTCAATTGCCAGGATGCGTCGCGGATACCGGAGCACTGGGGTTTCCAGAGCTTCTTGCACCGAGTCGCGAACAAGTACACACTTCTTTGTTCTTGCTTCAATCGACGTCCCTTTGTAAGCGTAGCGAGTTTTGACCGTCTTATCCTGGATGATCCTTGGCATCATGCAAACACCCGAAGATCAGCGACATCGCATCAAACAGAAAACAAAACCAGCCGTTCCCCATGTAGATACTCAATTTTGCAAGCACCCAGTAATACAGAACCGAGCGTTGATCATGTACGGGGCCACATGTGCACCGGAATTGGCAGCCAGCATTGAAAATCCCAAAGCACAAACCGACCGAGCTAAATTCCTGAAGACGGACATGCCTTTCACGCAGATTCAAAACGCAACACCAGCACTAAACCCCTGAACCCGGACGCGAAACGAGGCCCGACTCAATGCTGCTCTTCGACAACCAGCATCCCCCAATACCCCAGAAAAGAAGCCAGGGCATGCATCAGCTAGCCAGATAGCATAAAGGATCATGAGGGCTACCAAGATGGTCTTGCGAAGGACGTAGAATCCAGCATTGTCGCTCCTCAAGATCATGATTATAGGTGGTCTCGTTGGTGGCGAAACGAAATTTCTTCTACGATGCGCGTCTGAGGGCACTGTGGTCGGGAAGAAGGTTGGTAGGTTCAAGTCCATGCTGAGCTGTTGGGTTTGTTGGCTCTATCACCAAACTCGGAATGCGATGGGTGCAAGCTCGGGCTTGTGCTGGTCCGGCACAGCCGCCTGAAACTTCCAGTTTCAGTTCAATGCACATGCCAGACCTCAACCCTGGGGTGGATGTAAACCACCAGCCAAGACCTGGCGCCAAACCACTCCCTCGAAGCCGATTGGTCCCGAGGCTCCGGAGCTTTTCTGCACGTGCCAGGGCCCATGCGTTCAGTCGTGCTTCTCTTTCCTCTGGACTCAGCTGCTCCAGCATGTCTTCAATCTCCTCCTGACCTTGGACCAACCGGCTTGGCCATTTCTGTTTGGGGGTCGGGCATTCCCCTCTGCATCCGCTGTCGAGTTCCGAGGCAATACCTAGAGGGTATGGCTCGTAACTAGCATCCTACAGCTGTCTAGCAACCCATTAGGTGTCGCCCCGCCCTGCTTGTTCGCTTTGCAGCCGAGCCTCTCAAGGCACCCATACCTTCCTGAACTTCTTGCGCTGCCTCCTCCAGTTGCTGGTACTCATAGCCAGCCCCACCTCCTGCGAAACTGCGTTGGCCCGAGCCATCCTCTGCGATCTTGTTTGCTGCACCTGCCTTCGGGGTGCTCTTCTTCGCTTGCGCATACTTCAGAGCACAAATGAAGCCGAAAACCAGGCTTCCACAACTGCCGAAGATGATTGCTCCGTAAAGGTTCCTGCGGGTGTTCAAGGATTCTTTGTCCAGAGCTGCGGTGCTGGTCGCAGCAGAGGAATTCCCTGCATCTTTGGCAGGGCGAGTCGGCGATTGCTTGCCCACGGCATCTTTGGTATGCAGCGTCTGCGACCTGTTGTGAAGGGCATGGCTATCCACGAAGTCTGTGGGGTGGTCCTGCACCTCATGGTGCCGAGCCTCAGCCGCAAGGAGCCACGATAGAAGCACCACCTGGCAGCAACAAAGCAGGGGCATCTGGCGCGCAAGGCCGCACCCCTTCGAAAGGGCTGCCACAAGCTGCCCTCTGAGCAGAGCTGCAGACAGGTCGGGAGTTGGCTGTGAAAGGCTCGCTCAGGGCAAAGCGCAGCAGCATCTGTGTACTGCACAACAAGCGAATCAAGCTGCCTGCCCCGGAACCCTTGATGTTGATGTGCCGTGCGGGGATATGTTTCTGCACAGGCATTTGCCAAGAAAAAGCGCGACGAAAGGACTCTTTAGAGCTTTCCTTATATAGACCAGCAGGCCTCACCGGCTCGCAAGCGCGTAAACCCCCTGGCGAGAAAACCTTAAACTATAGGCATGCGTGCGGAAGCCACATCCCTATACGTGTGCACACAGTATTCAAGTCAGCTCTCGAGACCTCTGGGCCTCGGGCTGTCGTGCGAACTCGGCCCGTGCCGCAACCTCGGAACCCCAGGATTGTAGCTGCAACCAGCTGGCCTACTTGGGTTGGTTCGGCTGAGGGTTATCCGAAACTCTACACTGCCATCCTTCTCGGAACAGCCGCAAATTAAAGTACGAGCCTTTGCGGAAATCTGCACAAAATGCACATCCCGCAATCTTCAGTCCCACACCAGAACTTTTAATCCCCAACAAGGTTGATCTCATCTCAAGCCGTTCCGTTCAGATGCGATGCCTATGTATGTCCCACTTCCTCTGTAGATGGAGGGATTCCTTGCTAACGCGGTTTGGGAACTGCGGCCTCTGGAATTCTAGGGATTGCATGAACACAAGGTTTGCTTTCTTACTGCTCCTAATCAGGATTCCCAGCACACGAGCCAACAAGAAGGCTCCAAATGAATACCTTCCGACGACGAGCGCTCAGTTTCCCAGCTGCGGCTTGCGGACACCCGGAGCAGAGCAGATTTCAAAACAGAGCAGTGCGCCAAAGTTTCCAAGTGACTGACAGAACACCTTTTGCTCGCGGCAATGCACTCAGATGCGTCCGTATATGCATATAGACGTCATCTTAAAAGTTCACGTCGTGCTTCATGATGATGGATTGCATCTGCGGAGTGCGGGAGAAGGAGATCGCCTCCAAACCAGCCATATTCCGCACATTGACCTGGTATCGGGACGGAAGGCCTGTGGCCAAGAATCTCGCAACCTCCACCCAAATTTGGGAGTTCCGGGATGGGGGTAGACTTTAAACGTCTTCATAACTTTATAGACGTGCTGGATCTTCAGGCTCGAAGACTTCTGGCTGCATTTCCTGGTCCTGGAAGCCACATTAATATTGGGGCTCGGCAGGCTCAGAGCTTGGGGCCTGCAAGGTACGTGAGGCTGGAGCCCTGGGCCTTAAGGGCTACAAAACCCAGCGCGCGGGCACGGCATGTACAGGCCATGTGTCGGGCCGAAGCCTTTCAGGCCTGCCTTGGCACAGCGATCTAGGCTTAGCCGACAATTGGGCAGACTTCTGTGTTACACTGTAGAGTTATGTCATCGCCGCACAAGATCATACCTCATATGCTTGGCCACGTAGTACAGCTCAATGTCAATATGGTATGATATACTAAAGATAGGCGCAAAGAGAGCACAGCACAACACCTGTCGAATTCATACAGGGTAGCACTCCGCCAGGCTGTGCCAGACACTGCGACATCTGAGCCCCAGACACCTATCATCCGAAGTCAATAAAGCAAACAGCAGAACAGAAAGAACAAAACACTGATGGTGCCAAGGCACCAAAGCCCCATGCTCCAAGAGCTTCGTGACCAGATCGAAGCGGTCCTGCGCCGGACAGAAGTCGCCCGCCAGGAAAGGCTCCAAGTTTAGAGTTTCGAGCAGTTGGACACACCCACGGAATCGGAAACTGACGAGGTCCATCGGACGACGCTGAGGAAAAGCGATTCGACAGTTGTGCTCATGTCTTAAGACCTGAAGTCAAAGACGCTCCTTAGCAACCGCGTCGTTGATGGCCACGTGGCCCTGGTCGTCGGAGCAGTTCGGATTGGCTTTGCCTTGGCGTACCGGCGGAAACTTGAGCCAAGGCTCAACGCCGAACCCAAGAAGTGGGAAACCCGAAACCCGGAGTCCAGGGTTCATATAACGCTCAAGACACTTTAAACACCCCTAAAACCTTACAAACTTGCTCAGCAGTGCTTGAGCTGACACATTTCATAGTTTCCGGGCCTATCGTGAACTGAGGGTTTGGGGGTGGAATCTCTCCCCCAGCAGACAATCTCAGCAAGGTGTAGAGCCCCGATTCGTGCACTTCCCGTCTGTAAGGATCACCCGAGTACGATCCCTACGACCCTACGATATAGACTAACTAAGCAGAAAGGGACACCATGCTGGCAATGGAAAAGAGGAATGACCGAAACCGGTTCAGTACAAGTTGGTTTCGAGATGAGTGCAATTACAAATGTTTCGCCACCCTTCTATTTCCAGAGTGATTTTCGGATTCGCTATGAAACATAAGAAAATACTGTAAATATGGGCCCCCAGGGCGTCCCACTCTCTAACTAAATGGGGTGTCGCCTAGCAGAAGTTTGAACTGCACGGCGCAAATCAACAGGTATTCGCGCCCCTGGTTTCCAGAAAGCGAGAACGTGCTTGGGCTCCTGTTTACGTTGGTCTCCACAATGCTTTTCTCCAAATTGTAGAGTCTTGGGGTGCAGGGTTAAGCCTAAGCAGACCGGCAACCTCTCCGCGTTTGGGACATATGATGACCTCTATATGCTCTCCCGCACCACGTCCAAGAGATCTGGCTGAAACAACACTGACAGACAATCCCAAATTCATTGCAATCCATTTCTAGCACTGCAAGGCGAATCACGCTGAGGGCTTCGCTGAGTTTACAGACGAAAAACTCCGCTTCGCTCAAGATGCTCTACACTGTTTACAACACTACGATACTCTGCGACGCGATTCGTGCCTCGACCGTGCGCAGGGGGCACGAAACACCCTTTTAAATAATCACTATTGCCGTACATCTTAACTTCGACTGCTCTTAGTTTCGACTCTCACACTCTGCTAGTTTCGACTCACACACTCGCAAAAGCAGGCATGGCAATAAGTGTCCCTCTGCTAGTTTAGGGTTTCGGGTCGCGGGCTCAGGGTTGAAACTTGCTCGATCCTTTCCGCCTTACCGGCTCAGAACCCTGCAGCGTTCGGTAAAATCATATTTTCGAACACCCCGTCAATTTCCTGCTATCCTTCTCTTATGGCTCGGTTTTTCGTTTTTAAGCCCCTAAAGCGTTTTCGTGTGGCTTTCTCCTTTTGTGTGTGGAAAAGCGGATGAGGGAAAGACGGGTTTAGCCGTAGCCGGTTCGGACCAACTCCTCACAGCCTCACCTCCAAACCCTCTCAATACAGGCGAAAAGCCCTTGCTGCAACCCAGTAGTTACACTCAGCACTCTGTGAAATACTCGCCGAAACTTCAAACTCTTGTGTGCTTCGAGCGGGTGCGGGGGTCGAAAATTAAGACCCGGAAGCTTTGAGGCTGTAAGCCTGGGTGCCTTTCAGAAGGAGCTCTGCAGCTCCCGCATGGCCGAAGCGAACCGCAAGGTGGAGCGGATGTGTTTTCGTGAGGTCCTCCCATTCGGATTCAGGCTTTAGAAGCTCATGGTCTCAGGGCTTCGACCAAGGCTCCGGGATGAGGATGGGAGATTTAGCTCATCGCTCCAGGCACCCAGATTCCATCATTCGGCTCAGAATGTGCACAAGTTTTCATGCAAATCTATGAGTTTGGGGCCTGCAGCGTTCAGGAAGGATCCTACACGACCTCCAAGACTCCCAAGCCCCAGGCTCCACGCAATCCATACCGGCCATACCGTTTCTGATTCCCCGAAGCGGATTCGGCATGAGCAGACAAGATCGACATCCTTGCGACTGACTCGTTGAATTAGTAGACTTGCAGAGCATATAGGGCACCAATGTAGAATCACGCCAAAACCTTTACCCCATGTTCGCAGTCCGTCCATCTTGGCAAGTCTGAAAGCAAGTCAAAAACTGAAACGCCTTGACAACACACACAAGATCCTCTACCCGCGGGTCGGCGTTCTTCTCCAGCAACAGCCTGGAGCCAACAGGCTTAGGAAAGCTCTCAGGTGAAAGTTGCAACAGGCGGATGCAGATGCTCGCGCTCGGACGAAACCATCGTGGGACAAAGTCTAAACACAGTTCGAGGTGCGAAGCTCGTGAGATACAACATTTCAACCAGCACGGTCGCCCCACATGCCGATCCGCCCCCTGTCTGTACACCCACGTGCGTGCATGCTGCAGCGCTGATGATACACAGACACTCTGACATACACACACAACACCATTGCCTAGCCAAAGCCCACAACCCCAAGCACCGAACCATCGAATGTCATGCCGAGCGTCTGGACGACCGAAGCGAAGCCCATCTGCGCAGCTGCGTGGAGGGCGGTTCTCCTTGTACCATCCTGTACTTCTGTGCTAACTTCCGCGCCTTTTCCTGGGATCTGGATGACGGAATAGAACCAAAGCGCGACACGACTCCTGTACGAAACGAGAAGAAACGAAGTGATTTAGAACCAAGATTCTGAAGAGGTACTTGCAGATATCCAAGTGGCCTGCGTTGGCAGCCTGAGAAGGATGAAGGGCGCATGACATGCCCGCACCCCCCTGGGAGCTTTGTGTTTCGTGGGTCTTCATGCTATCAGGGCTTTGTGCCTTTGGGCTGCCAGCGTGGTCCGGAATGTCTGCTGCGGATTGTCCGACATGAACCCTAGTAGCCGTAGAAAGCATTCATGCAGCAAGCCGGAAGTAGCAATGCAGAGGCGGGCTTGCAGCCGGAAGCCGCAGTTTCGGGCGCAGGGGTTAGTTTCAGGGCTCTTTGGATTATACCTGTTTAAGGGTGTCTAAGTTGAATCTTGGGAATCGAGGGCCCTCGGGTTTCTATTTTGGGCTTTGGGTTGGTGTTTGGAATGAACTTCTGTCCTGCACACCAAGGGGCCGCTATGAGGGGTGTGACCCCGATGTCCGGCTCGGGCATGTTGACGTCCGCCTTGGCCTGTTAGTCAGCGTTCTGTAGGGTCGCGAGTCAAGAGGCTTAAAGGGTTTGGCTTAAAGCTTGATGATCCCGCTGCTGTCGGAAGGCATGCAAACTCAGCTAATGGCACTGCACAGGTGCTTGTACTGCAAGGTCTTTTCAGGATTTGACTCCAGCTTCGAACCCATGCCATGTCGCATGCAAACACCCCTGAACCCCTAAACACGCATTTAACACCAGTCAACCCCAAGATGATGGCCCTCGGAGTCTCGAAGTGATGCTGAGGCTAAGGCCTTCGATTCAATTTTCTACACCTAGAGACTCCGACGTTGATTGTGAGGATTCCTCAATCAGGAAGCCTAAAACTGAATTCAGGAATCTCCACGGAGAGAGTGATTTGCGGTCCTTGCCTTCAACCTGAAGCACAAATAGCCTGAACCACTACTGGTCACTACTGCTTGAACCGTAGACTCTAGACCCTTCCTCGCTGCCTGTTACTTTCAACTCTTCAATACTACGCACTTCACGTGAAGTAGGATGTAGCAGAGGGCTTGCTCGTACAGCTCGGGTTTTCTACGGCTCAAGCCGCTGGAGTCTGAATGACGACACGATGCTTCCGAAAAAGTTCGCGAGATCAGTTCCCTTGCCCCCACCTGGACGTTAAAGACTGTTTTGCACACACGCACACACACACACACATATACATATATATATATATATACATATACTGATGCTGCCGAACTGCTTGCACAAATTCAGAAACATGCAGGGCATCAACCTCAATTTCTCAAGCCCTTACCTGACGCGCGCAGAGCCTCCGAAGACCACATCTTCAGAGTTGCTGTTGCAGGCTGTGCGATTGCTTCCCCCACGCTATCATGATGATAAGACCGGTAGGCCCTGTTTTTTAAATCATTCACCCACATAACACGTACAACAAGAGCTCTTTTGCTCTGGGGCCCAGCCCCGGCCTGGATCAGCTCCGCAGCCACCGTGAGATTCCCATTCTCGCAGAGGCGCACCAGACACCGAGCTGCCAGGGCCAGGCCATCAAAATCTTTCACCAAGGTGAAGTCCTCCAAGAGCTCACAGCAATTTTATCAGAATCGCAAGGCACCTTCTAGATCCGCCTCCTTATCGCGTCTGGGGCCATTAGCGACCGGAGGAACCGCAAATCCGAAGATAACGAATCAACGGAAGCACACGGTACTCCATTGCACCGGTCCTGATTGACATCAAAACCGTTCTCCTCCTCCACAGCCCCACCGACACGTGGCTTAGGAGTAAACTTAGCAGTTGCACTTCCATTGGTGAGCGCTGCAGGCTTCTCGTCACCGGCCGCTGCATGATCCTGAGTTTGAGGATGTTGCTGTCATGGATCTTCTTGTGAGTCTTGTTGTGATGTGGCACTTTCCAGTGCCAGTCAGCCGGGACAGTAATGAAGATCACGGCTGCGCTTGCCACTTTCAGCGTTTCATTTCATTCAGTATACGCTCAGAGTAGACCCAAAGGGGCCTTCGGATTTAACAGCACTACTCAACTACCCAAAAAAATGGCGCGTGGCACTCTCTTCAAAAGCTTCAGCCGCTACCACCGAATGTTTCGGTAGAGTATTTGATATAGGGCATGTGGGTTCGCGAGATACCGCCCATACGGCAGCACTTTTCCGTAGTAGCACTAGCAGGCGAGGCACCGCGAGGATTTTCCGGAGACTGACCAGGAGGTGCCTTAGTGACAGAATGTAAAGGTGTGTGTACACACAAGAGCGCACACCCACACACATCCATATATATATATATATATATATGTATATATATATATATATATATGTATATATATATATATTACACATACTTACATGCATGCATGCAT